GGGTTAGGATGCTGTATAACGATATGTACAAGTCTGTCATTAACATGAAGGGTTAGGATGCTGTATAACGATATGTACAAGTCTGTCATTAACATGAAGGGTTAGGATGTTGTATAATGATATGTACAAGTCTGTCATTAACATGAAGGGTTAGGATGCTGTATAACGATATGTACAAGTCTGAAGTCTGTCATTAACATGAAGGGTTAGGATGCTGTATAACGATATGTACAAGTCTGTCATTAACATGAAGGGTTAGGATGCAGTATAATGATATGTACAAGTCTGTCATTAACATGAAGGGTTAGGATGCTGTATAATGATATGTACAAGTCTGTCATTAACATGAAGGGTTAGGATGCTGTATAACGATATGTACAAGTCTGTCACTAACATGAAGGGTTAGGATGCTGTATAATGATATGTACAAGTCTGTCATTAACATGAAGGGTTAGGATGCTGTATAATGATATGTACAAGTCTGTCATTAACATGAAGGGTTAGGATGCTGTATAATGATATGTACAAGTCTGTAACTAACATGAAGGGTTAGGATGCTGTATAATGATATGTACAAGTCTGTCATTAACACGAAGGGTTAGGATGCTGTATAATGATATGTACAAGTCTGTCATTAACACGAAGGGTTAGGATGCTGTATAATGATATGTACAAGTCTGTCATTAACACGAAGGGTTAGGATGCTGTATAATGATATGTACAAGTCTGTCATTAACACGAAGGGTTAGGATGCTGTATAATGATATGTACAAGTCTGTCATTAACACGAAGGGTTAGGATGCTGTATAATGATATGTACAAGTCTGTCATTAACACGAAGGGTTAGGATGCTGTATAATGATATGTACAAGTCTGTCATTAACACGAAGGGTTAGGATGCTGTATAATGATATGTACAAGTCTGTCATTAACACGAAGGGTTAGGATGCTGTATAATGATATGTACAAGTCTGTCATTAACACGAAGGGTTAGGATGCTCTGTATAATGATATGTACAAGTCTGTCATTAACACGAAGGGTTAGGATGCTCTGTATAATGATATGTACAAGTCTGTCATTAACACGAAGGGTTAGGATGCTCTGTATAATGATATGTACAAGTCTGTCATTAACATGAAGGGTTAGGATGCTCTGTATAATGATATGTACAAGTCTGTCATTAACATGAAGGGTTAGGATGCTGTATAATGATATGTACAAGTCTGTCATTAACATGAAGGGTTAGGATGCTGTATAATGATATGTACAAGTCTGTCATTAACATGAAGGGTTAGGATGCTGTATAATGATATGTACAAGTCTGTCATTAACACGAAGGGTTAGGATGCTGTATAATGATATGTACAAGTCTGTCATTAACACGAAGGGTTAGGATGCTGTATAATGATATGTACAAGTCTGTCATTAACACGAAAGGTTAGGATGCTGTATAATGATATGTACAAGTCTGTCATTAACACGAAGGGTTAGGATGCTGTATAATGATATGTACAAGTCTGTCATTAACACGAAGGGTTAGGATGCTGTATAATGATATGTACAAGTCTGTCATTAACACGAAGGGTTAGGATGTTGTATAATGATATGTACAAGTCTGTAATTAACATCCTAGAATGTAAAGTAAGACATCTGCCAAAGTCTGGTGGATAATAATTACCTCCATATGTCAGTGTATGTACAGATATAATCGTCTGATCTGTAACAATAAGTCAGGAAGTTCTGCCAATAGCAAGAAGCAGATATTTTTGTACTTTTCAAGATCAGAATAAATAGATTTCAAATATTGAGTGTTTGGGTCAAAAAGTATAACAGATGGCAATTTTTTTTTTAAATTTCGGTTTACAACCTTTCATAAGTTTTACGTTTCAATATTTTAGCATCTTTAGACACGCCAATTCAGAATTTATCCTATCATTGTAAGCCTAGGTTGGAGAATTTCTTGTTTATTAAGTAAGTCCAAATGAGGAGGCCTGCTGATTACTTGACTCATAAGACCTCTACAGGTAAATTCACATACTTGTAGATAAGCCCAATGAGTCTTTTAGATGCCAATATTATGAGCTTCAAAATTATCAGTGTTCAAAAATCACAACTTGTGTTTAATGAGTGAACACACAGTATTTCAAAATAACACATTGTGTTCTAATCAGGGAATAAATGTGTATACCAAAAAATTGCTTTAAACAGGTTTAAGAATGAAATTATTAGCCAAATATGCAAAGCTTTATGCTAATACATGTGTAATGACTACATCTAATGTACAATGTGTACATATATGTGTAATGACTACAACTTATGTACAATGTGTACATATATGTGTAATGACTACAACTTATGTACAGTGTGATGATGCCACTGATGACAAACATTAGACTAATTTGTTGTACAGTTGCTGTTACAATGTTTGTAATGATCTGTGCAAAATATTGGCTCTGTTTTCTATGTTATTGTGCCTAAAACACACCCTGAAGAAAACTTGTGATGATAAATCCAGACAGTAGTCTTCTATTTATACACTCAAGTAGAAATATTTACCAGATAATTAAACCCAACATCAAATTATGTTTTTGTTCTATTTTTAGCTTCCATTATATACAGTTTTAGAATCAATCATTTGCCTACTCTCTAGTGGAATTTTTCGTAAATTATAGAAAACAAAATAATACTTATTATTATACAATTTATGAATGAAATATCGATTGTATTTAATGACAGGACTGTTATTTACTTATGAATAATTAGAGGTATTGAATTCACAAGGTGGTATTGAATTTCAATAACTGTCATTAAACAGATAATGAAATTAAAATCAAACAACAGTATATTGCTTTATCATTTCATTGAATAACCAGCCTACACAATTTTGTAGATGAAAACTTGGTTCAACTTTTATCAGGTAATCTAATATTGCAGGTAACAATAAAAACTATTAAGTTAAAAAAAGCTTAAGATTCCTAGCTAGCCCACACCAAAAGATACCATTATTTCTTGCTTATTTAATGCTCATATTCTTTTGAACTACTTGTTAATCATACAACACATTGTTACCATCAATCAAGATGAGCATAGAAAATTTAGACTAAAAATTCCAGGAGTATTCTCAATTGTTTTATTTGTCCAATTCTCAAAGAGTAGACATCAATTACAATCCAACTCGTAAGATTAAAAAATTCAACTTTTCTTCAAAACAAAAAAAATGCTCAAAAGACTTTCCACTTAAAAAACTAAAAAGTCTTTACTTAATGTAAATCAATGTAGCCTAGGGAACAAGCATACTTTAGTCTTTAATGTGGATTCATTATTATCTGTGGGATACTTTTTTTTTTTTTTTTTTTTGTATAGGTAAATCAAGAATTTAAATGTTCAGTGAAGTAAAAATTTTCTAAAGGCTAGTTAGTATGCAGAATTTAGCAAAACCATGAAATTACAATTTCCCATAAATCGACAAAAATTGGTATCCACGAAAATAACCCAATCCACAGTAACTTTGTTATGTCACTTCTAAGACAAGATTAACACACCCCCCTTTTTAGGAACATGGGTTTTAGAAAGATCTCTAAGACTATCATACAACATAAACAGAGAAAGCCAAAGATAACAGCTTACATCCAACAGATTACAATGCAGACACCTAGCTGGATTATCAAATAAATATTTACAAAAGTCTTATCTTCACATTCCATCAGATTCGACATTTCATTCATCTTCTACAAACACTAAAACAGGTGTTTATTATCACAGAATTATGTTGATTAAAATAATTCTCATCACTAACAAATCATTCTTAGCCTGTACAAAGAATGAGCAGTTTGACATGGTTAGTCTTAATAATGAAATGTAGGGCAAAAACTATGGCTGCCTACAAATATATCTGTCCATTATAGTTTTGTTGACCCAGAACTGTCCAAAGTGAAATTTGAAATGAAATTCAGACAAAGAATTTAACCTAGATGAGACTCAGAGGGAATATAATATATTCAGTATGTGTAACACCCGTGTGGAATCTCACAGAACACTAGTACTTCAACAATTACCCTGAAACAAATCCCTTCTTTAAGAGTAGTCTCCCTTCCATCTATGATCTTGTTCAAATGAAAGAATATGTAGTTAAAAAATATTGTCACAATATTTCATTTTTAGGAAATTTTCATTTAAGATAATACTAATAGATTGAATTTGTTCTATAGCGTTTTTATTATTCCAAATATAGATTATCCTTCTAAAACAGCTGCTAGCCCTTTAGTCAAGCTGATGAAAAATTACAGACATTAAGAGCCAGTCCTTAATTATTTGTATTGCCATACTCTAACTTATCAACTCTTACTAAATGTAGGCACACAATTATTTTGCAATGTTCTCCTTATATAATTACAGTACTCTTTTAATACTTCCTGTTAAGTGAATGTTTTTTTTGTTTCTTAGTTGCATTTTGCACCTCCATTTGCAGAATGTTTAAAAAGGATTAGAAAATAGTGGAATTAAGTTCATTGATGAGAATTTTCCATTTGAAATGGAAATCTCATAGAAATTATTAAATTTTGTCAAAAAATTTGCATCTTCAAATTTTCAGGGGTCACAGTGGTCTAAAATAGACCCATGGCCAATTTTTTTTTATCATAGAACTATAGTCTAAAACAAATTTCCCTTCGAGGAAAAGTAGATGCATGCAAGGTCTGTTTAAAAATTAATCAGTCTATGATTCACGTATACATCAGTCTAGGCTATGGCAGTCTATTTTTAATTGGTGGACCCTTGGCAGAAAAACTGAAAACCTAGTCAATTAAGATCGGAGTTGAATGCACCTGCAACTGTGGGATTGGAACTGACAACCTGAGTGTTGACAAGTGATACAGTAGTTGTATAACTTAGAACACTTGGCTAACAAGACCCCCTCACTGCAGGGAGAACACTATTTTGAATATCTTTGACAAACTTTGTGACACTGTACCCGGTAGTTACTATGAATATCAAGTCTTACCTGTGCACATCTTTGACTTCCACACATTTTCCGAATGTTCCTTCTCCTAACGTGGATACCACTTCATCTGAAAAAGTTAACACAGCAGATAAAATCTGATCTAAATGGCAATACATGCCATCTCCCCCCAACCCAAACTGGAATTTACAACTGCAGTCTCTCCTGTTTCCTGTTTTACATGTGGTCTTGATGACACAAGTTGTTTTATGTATGTGTGTAAATTGTGGAGTCGTAACTGTACTACCTTTTCCCTTTTCCGTTGCCCTATCCCATCCCATATTACACAAACTGTAATTCTCATTAAACCCCTTAGTGCAGCATTTTCATGAAAATTTCAACCTCCTGAATGTATCGTTGTACAATGTAAATTACAATACATAAGGGCAGGTAACTCATTTACCTCCAATTTCGGGAGATAATGAATAAACATAATATGCAAAATCCTTCCACATACATATATCTCCCCAAATTTCTTTCTGATTAATAAATAAATGCTAGTATTGTAAAAAAAAAAAGAGATAAAAACAAACACAAGCACAGCTTTGGTTCAAAACTGTGCTACAAATAAAGAAAGCAGTAAAATCAGGGGACATAATTCTGTCAAAATCAGGGGACATAATTCTGTCAAAATCAATGGGAGAATAATTCTGTAAAACAGAAGGTTACATTAATGGTCCAAAGAGCAGGCACAAAAACATGAAATATAATTCTAGGCTAAACATTACGAAAATGGAAGTACATCTAGCTTGTAGCAAGTCTCCCGCTTGATATATCAGGTGACCATCGTCGTCGTCTGCAATGCATGTTCCCTGTTCACTGGTATCTTTCTGGTCTTGCTGTAAGTACACAATCCCAATCAACAATCCACCATGTCCGCCACACACACAATCACCATGGCAACCAAAGGTCAAGGTTCATCATTTTCATGTTTCGTTACAGCCCACAATTATTTATGTGATTCAGGTTGGACCAGCAGAGATAAAATTTTGGAAGGAGACAACCAAGTAAAGATTTTGTCACAAAAAACAACAATTTTCCAATCTATACACATTATTATCATTAATTAATCAATTTACTTTATTTAATATTTTTTTATTTCTTTGCTTGCTTTTTTAAATGTGAAAAGACATCAAAGACCAAGTTTCAGCCTAAAGACACTTTTTACTTTTCAAAACATTGTAATTAGGCCTACTGCATACTTTTTTTTTCTTTTTGGGGTTAATACATTATTTTTTTTAAAAGTTGTCACTTTTTTTAACTAAATGAAGTGAAAAGTTTGGGAAAACTGATTCTATTTTTAACGTTGCACTAAGAAGAAGGACAAGGAAGTCATAAAATGTATATGCAGATCTCTGTTATTTTCTTATTTTTTATTTCCATAAAATCTACTCCACAAGGAATAACTTTATTGCTTCTTCCTGGTGAGATATTTCTTATTTTTTTTTATAGATTTAAACAAATATCTAAAAGGAGATATCCCTAAGCAAAGGAACCAAGAAACAGGAAAAGCATGATGATAAATCTTAGGCAATTTGTATTGATTTATTAATGAAGGATACCCATGAAGATAGATAACCAATCAACTTATAATGGACTCAAACAGTCATTCTAAAATCAACCATTGGGAAAGGCATAGAAAATACATCTATTAAAAGTTACCAGTGGGAACAGCCAAATTAATTAATCTGATTAGGGCTTCCATAATTAACTGGAATTCTTTGTGTGGAACTCTTAACACACATACTTTTTAGTTGATTTTAATGGTTAATTTTTCAAAAAATTGACAAATTGAATAAAGCATAGCATAACAGATGTATTCATAGTCGGGTGTACATAAAACAATACAACATAAGCTCTGTAGAGCACCTTTCTTTTCTTTTTCTTTAGGAATGTTTAAATCTGTAGCTGGCCTCTGATGTCTTCTCATGTATAGCAAGCTTTTACCAACGCGAGATGTGTGAACACGACATTTTCTTTTCTACATGTCAAATGATTAATTGATCTATCTTATTCATCTTTACTCTTTTATCACTGAAGATATAAAACATCTTTATTTTAACATTCAATGTAAAGGCTGAATAATTGATGAACAATTACCTAAATTTGAAAAATACATATTACTACACAGGCAAACAATTCTTCCTTGCCCAGAAGTTGTTTTTTTAACTTCAGTAATCAGAATTACAACACAAAGTCAACTTTATCAGAAACTTAACTACCTAATGAAATAAATTAAGATGAAAGTAGGCATCAGGAAATAGGGGTCAGTGACCAAACAGCTGATTTTGACCTATATCATTCTAATCATGTAGGAATTCAATTCTGGTTCCCATACAACTGATTTTGTTAACCAAAAAAACCTTAAGTACACTCAGTACACTTAACCTGGCCATCCCCTCAATGACATGTAAACAATACATTGTATGTATATGTCATGTTTTGTAACTAACAAATCTATTTAATTAGGTCACAGAAATCATATTGTTGAAAATTTTAGAATCATATATACAGGAAATTCTTTCTGACATCAGGTGGGTGGGCCTAATTGAAAAAAATATATTCCAAAGGAAGACTGGACACTTTTAAAAAAAGTAACTATGGCTGATGAAAATGCTGATGTGCTTACATGGCTTTAAATCATCAAAATAAATCAATCAATCAATCAATTAAAGTATATATCTAATAGTAATCAATTTCACTAAAGGATCTGTTTAATTGTTCAATTCCCCATTTTTATAAATTTGAAAAAAAAAGAAAAATAACATGTAAATGGAAAACATGATAAACTGAACAACTGTTTGTAGTTTTCAAGAGTCCAGATCGAGTTTAACATTTACTTTAAAACCAAAAAGAAAAACGTCACAGACACTCCAGAGTAGTTTCTAGTAAATTTTGAATTCAAGAATTTTGGTGACTTCTGATCAAGTTCTATTTAAAACAATACATATTTTGTAACATGTAAGAATTTTGTGGTGTTGAATGACATCGTATAAATGTTAAAAGTATACATGTACTTCATTTATAATTTAGTACAAAACAGAATAAATTACTAACAAGATTTCATAAAGTTTGTAAAAACTGTAAAAATCCATCTTATAATAAAATTTTATCAAAATCAAAGCAAACTTTGAAGTTAATCCTCTTTATCCTAGGAGATTATATGATTTAATACATCTGGGAAAAATTAGGTCAAATCAACTACTGTCTGCACCCAAACAATCATAAAAACTTATCTCAAAGAAGCTCTGGAAGTACTACTGCACCTGGTAATCTTAAAACATTCATCTGACTGGAATTTTATCATACTTTTTAAGTCCATAAAAAATATTCAAAGCTATAAAAAAAAAGTATATCCAAAAACACACAGGTTTAATGCTGTAAGTAAATGCCACTTAAAATGAAAGCTGTTTGGTCACTGATTTTTTTGTTATAAGAAATAATCCTTCATTTTCAATCCTAAAATTCCATAAAGATCTTTCTGATATGATGAATATATTCCAAAACAAAACACTCAGTAATTTAGAGACAAAAGCTTGAACAATTTAATCCAAACTGAATTTCAAATACTTATCTTTAATACTAAGATACTTATTAGTAGAAATAATCCAGAAGTCAAACTTAAAATTCCCAGCCAAAAAAAATCACAGAATTTCACTTGAATTTTCTCCCTAAAACTTAATAAAAGTTGACAAAAAACTCACAAGGAATCGACTACGATATGAACTTTGGTAAGACGTTTGTCCTGTGTCATATTTGTAACTATTGTAAGTGCCGGACGGATTATAGTGTGTGGCAGGCATTGTCCCCCATTCTTTGTTGCTGTATATCCCATCAACTCTCATTCTCTACTGAACAAATCTTCTCTAGACACTTCCCTCAAAACAAACCAAAAGAGCCAAGGAGTTCAGAATGTCTGAGGAGCAATCAGCATCCAGAATGTTTAGTGTGCAGTATCACTTTACCAAGTCTGACAAACTTCTGAAGCACAACACACGTAAAATATGCTGCTGTGAATGTGTGTAATAAATGTGGGGCCTCCCACAGGATATTGCCACTCCATCAATCATCAATGACTCTACAACTCTATTGTGAAATTTATCAATTAACGAGGCACTCTAGGGAAATGTACAAATATGATTATAAGAGTCAATATTCAATTACATCAATTTTATGTAATAACATTTAACCATTTGTTCATATTCCGTTGACCTTTCAACATCATAAAAGTTTAACTGTCAAACACTCAACTATATCAATTTTGTAAATGTTAAAACATATCTGCACTTTTCATGATGAAAATCAGTTTAGAATTTCTAATTCCAGTCAGATTTCATCTATTTCTTGGAATCTTTGTGAAGTTCCACAAAAAACCCTTTCAGACAATAAAACCATTCTAAATTCTATCTATTTAGTTATAAATGTCTCTTAATCTTCTTTCACTACGCCTACAATCCTTTCAATCTCTACCCCCTAGGGTCCAAGATACTGTAATTAATTAACTGACCAATCATTAATTACAACCAGATGTTCTTTTCCTCATATTTATCCTGATCAATATGTTTATTTTATCTCTCAACAACATGTAAATCCTTTATCTCCAGTTTATAGTCAGGAATCACTGGAGCATGACTCTTTTTATAGTTTGTCTTTTTGATTTTTTTCTTATCCTGTGGTTTGTTACATTTTTTTTTAATCATCAATTATATTATTTTTATCCAATTTTCACTATATTCACTATATTTGTATACTATGTCACTTGCTTTGCTCAATCATTCATGAAATCTTTTTCATTACCACAAAATCTCTGACCGTGGAATAAACATTATTTTACTTTTGAAAGTAAGTCCAATTTTCATTTCATCCAAAAGTCTGTCCAAAATCAATTATGAATTATTTTAACACACATTTATAATTAAACCATTCTTGGAAAGTTTAAAATATCTTAAACACAATTTTAATATTTTCAGTTTCTCCCACTTAAAGTATCAGCAACTCAACGTTTTTACTGTTACTAACTTATCATATTTTTGAAATTTCATAATTGTATGTGATTTAAAAATAAATCCTCCTCGGTTAGAGAGAAATTGGCAACACTCTATGCTTTCTGCGTCTCCATTCTAATTGAATTAATATTATTTGCCTCTGTCACAGTATCACAATAATAAAATGTACAGGTACCTTTATTGAAACATTCAAACCAATGCAGGACTCAATCAATCCTATGTTGTGGTTATTTTTAATTCCATGTTTTCCCCATACAAATCTAGAAATTTAACATTGCAAAACTGCATTCGGATCTATAATCAATTCCTACTAGATGTTTCTCACTCCTTTACTACTTAATATCTGCATTCGGACATCTAAATCCTACACTATAGTACACCGAACACAAAGACAAAACACCACAACATTAAACGTGACAACACGTCTGACTCAAAGAAATGATGATTTCTGCTGCACATTCATCCCATATTAATCGACAAGAACAAAGGACCTTAAAACTTAATCAGAATGTTTTCTCGGAGCAGATCAATATTTGAAGAAATTACCCAATATGCAAAGCAAGCAAGCGGCAAGAATCATCTCTAAATAATCAATGTCATTGCAGTTTTAACATTGGGTAATTAGGCCTAAGTCTTTTTCAGAAGTTTGTCTGCAATTTCCTTAATCCATAATGTACAAAGATTGTAAATTTGAAAAGCATCTAAACGTTGTAGACCACTGAGGCTTGAATGTTGAACAAAGAAAATGGTTATTTTGAAAAGTCAAGGGCTCTGATTCACTTATTGATTAGAAAGCTTTGAAAGAATTGTTTGTCATTGTAATCAAATCTTCATTCAATAAATGAATTACAGATATCAAACAGTATTATATCAAACAAAAGAATGAACTAACTATTCAACCTTTCATCAACTCTAAACTCAAAAATCCTTTTTTTTAAAGCAGTTTTTAACTCTCCTGTCCGAGCTTCAATTCATTTCCAAATAATATGTCTACTCAAATTATATCTATTTTTCAAAGAATTGGTGCTTACAAAAAATGAGAGAAAATCAATTTATGATCAAGATAGGTACGAAGCTAGCTCAGTCACTTCAGTGACATACCATAAGAATAATTCAAAATATTCATGAATTCAAATTTCATGGATTATAGAATTATAATTAGTATGTAAGTTTTTTTAATTAGAGGTTTTACTAATTCAATGAATTAAAAGTCCTTTCATTGAATTTAGATATAATATGTCAAAATATAGAATTGGCTTGCACTGTACATGGATATATATAATATTTCAAATGGATGAAATGAATTCTCTTTATATGCTAATTATAGTATTAAAACAATGTATGTTCACACATCTCGGCTGTAGTAATATTCAGTAATATTTTTACATGACATTTTGTAATTATGTTAAATAATGTTGTTTTTGAATGGCCCATAATGTCATCAATCGTGTAATTGTCCAGAAATTGTTTTTCGACTTGGTAAAAATTTGATAATGACAACAATTTCTGAAGAATTTATTGGAGGAGAATGAATGACATTATCAGACCATCAAAAACATATTTACATTCATATACTGTAACAAATAATTAAAGCATACTTTATACCAGAGATCAACTTATAGAACCACATTAAGATTAAACTTAATGTTTTTTTCTTAAATTGTCTCCCTTGCATATATTAATTCATTGCCCTTTTTTCAACAGGGAACCCCAAGAAAAATATATCAGATGGCTACAACATAACTCATGTTTGTTTTTTGGTAAATCATTTGAATACGTTTATTTACATATTTACCCTGTATTTTCTTACAACGCTTCCTTTTGAGTTCCTTCCCTTTAATTCTAAAATTCCCCTTTGGAAGCCTCAATTGTCCTTTATATTTCTGTTTTAACCACTTGATACAAGGTTCTTAAGCATTTGTAATTATGTCAATTGGATATTTCCCCTATATAATGGCTCTGGTTGATTTTTCCTGCCTTTAACATACATTTCTAACTCACCTGTTCCTGGCAATGCTGGGAAAAAATGAAAACATAGGACCAGAAATAAAATATCATTGGTTTGCCATTGTCCTAAAGACCCAAAAAATTCAAATGAACTTTAGATTATTTATCATTATGATAATAAAAGGTTTTTTTCTGAAAATTTCTATATATATACATGTATATATATATATATATATATATAAAATTTATTAAAATTTCGAATTGTTCAAAAAAATATATATAGATAAATAATTCATATTAATTTTTCAGGGTCAATCGGGACGTGTAGCCTACATAAATATTTTATCTCTGGCCTGGTTTATACTCTTATTGGGGACCACGATTCAAATTTTTAAAATTTATCAAGGTCCAAAATCTTCACATGAATGGACATTTTTAAAAATTTTTGCATGAAAATTTTCAATTCTGGAAACAGTCAGTTCTGTTGAGTTCCTTATCTATTTAATTTTTGTGTTTCAAAATGACTACATTGAATGTTACCCTAAAAAATGTAACATAACTGTTTCCATATCTACATTTTATAAAACTAACATTACAAATTCCATTCTTAAGTGTAGATTTTGAACTTCTGATAGAAAAGCAATTCTGAAAAGGCCAAAATTGGACTTGATTATCTCGAGAACAAAAACTCACCCTGCTGCTGGATTCAGAAGTATAGGAGGATCTCCGTCTGTGACGATAACTTCTACGAGGTCTTCCCTGCCTCCTGGTCCTAATCTGATCTCTGTTAGTGTTTCTATGACTACTGTGTGCACCACTGTGTTCTCTGTATCTGTTGTGTGAAGCCTCATATCTGTTACTACAGCGACCATGCCGGTCTGGTGTGTGAGATCTGTCTCTGTAATTGTCCACTGAATCATCTCGTCTGCGAGGACGACGTCTGTCACTACTGTAAAATATCAATCATTTTTCGTATCAATTTTCTTTTACAGTTGGGCTTTGAGAAAAAAAACATACAAAAACAAGAATGTGTCCATAGTACACGAATGCCCCACTCTTACTATCATTTTCTATGTTCAGTGGACTGTGAAATTGGGGCCAAAACTCTAATTTTGTCATTAAAATTAGAAAGATCATATCATAGGGAACATGTGTACTAAGTTTCAAGTTGATTGGTCTTTAACTTCATCAAAAACTACCTTGACCAAAAACTTTAACCTGAAGCGGGACAGACGGACGAACGGACGGTACAATGAACAAACAATGAACGAACAGATGCACAGACCGAAAAACATAACACCCCTCTACTATTGTAGGTGGGGCATAATAACTTCATTTTCACAAATTTCATGTTAAGAATCCAGAAATATTGTGTCAAAACTTTTTATATATAAAGTTAAATGCATTAGAAATTTACTCCAAAGAAATTACTGGACTATAAAGTGTGTTTCGTTTGATGTTTAGTATATACTATATATTTATCTCACTAAGGTGTTCTGGACCTCAGTGGTCTTTTGTTCCATTAATTGTTCAAGCATTACTGGGACCAGTCAGTGTTTTAACAGTCTTTGCACAATGATTGTTACAGAATTCTTAAATCTACGCTAGATTTTTGTTCAATGTGGACCAATTTGGTAACATGTATAAATAATCAAAAATCTAAATACATGGGAGCCCATTTAAATACATCATAAAGGTATTAAAATAGAAAGTGACATCATAGTCATGGCTAAAAATAAACAAAAATCCTTAATCAGCAACATTTAAAGTAATATCTAAAAATAAAATTCCTTTGTAACCATAAAAGCCCATTTAAATACATCATAAAGATATTAAAATAGAAAATGACATCATAGTCATGGCTAAACATAGCAAAAAACCCTTAATCAGCATCATTTAACAGTAATATCTAAAAATGGAAATTACATCATAAAGGTATTAAAATAGAAAATGACATCATAGTCGTGGCTAAAAATAAACAAAATCCTTAATCAGCATCAGCAACATTTTATAGTAATATCTAAAAATAAAATTCCTTTGTAACCATAAAAGCCCATTTAAATACATCATAACAGATATTAAAATAGAAAATGACATCATAGTCATGGCTAAACATAGCAAAAACCTTAATCAGCATCATTTAACAGTAATATCTAAAAATAAAAATTTCTTTGCAACCATAAAAGTAAAATAGAAAATGACATCATAATCATAGCTAAAAATAAACAAAAATTTTTTTTATTGGCAAATTTTAAATGGAGTTTATTATACTAAAACAATAAATTTGCAACCATAAACATGATAAAACCCCATTTAAACACATCATAAAAGTATTAAATAATTCAACTACATCATAAGGCTATAAAAATAGAAAATGACTTCATAGTCAAGGCTAAAGGTAAACAAAAAACCTTCATCAGCAAAATTTTATATTGGCAAATTTCCAATGAAGTTTATTACACTAAAATTGTTGGCAAATTTCCAATGCATTTATTAATAATAAAGTTATTGGCAAATTTCCAATTTACATAATTTAAAAGCAGTGTAGATGAGATATTTAAATGAGTTTGAATTACCAACCTTACACTGCTTTTAAATAATGTTCTTTACTCAATTATTTGTCTATTAAAATGGAAACCCTTGTTTTTTAACCTTTTTTCCCCTTATTCCTTAAACATTAGAGCCATAACCAACCCCCCCCCCCCCCCCAAGCCAATTATTACTTTCCAATGTAACCTAAATTTCCAATATACATAATTTTAAATTTCAGTTCCTCATGATATATAACCGTATCATTATTATTTTCTTTCATATATAAATCTGAAACAACCATCTTTAAATGGAAAATTTTAAAGAAAAAAAAAGGAAAAAAAAAAATCCTACCCCCCACACATTTTTTCAACCCCCTTTTGATTCATCATCCCCCATCTCAATCACAACCTTCAATTTGTGGTATGGTACATTGCAATACAATTTCACAGAGATCCATACACTTGAACACAAGTTTTTGTTGCAAACTAAAAAAATCCTTATTTTCAACCAATATTTGGCCCCTTATTCATAAATGAGCAATTAACCCCAAAACTCAATTCCTACTTTCTCTTCGTGATAAAAAATAACTAACTTAAAATGTAAATTTTAAACAAAAAAAATAAAATGCTCCGCTGGGGCGCAGCTTGATACGACCGCAGAGGTCGAACCCTGAACAGTTGGGGCAAGTATGGACACAACATTCAAGCTTGATACAGCACTGAATTTGGATTGTAATTAAATATTTGACACAGCATAGGTTTCTGACACAGAATGAAAGTGGTCTAAGAACTTAAAAATTTTCAATTTACCTATTCATACATGTGATGGACTGTGAAACTCAGATCAGGAGATTGGGAAATTTTGGTCAGGAGATTAGGACTCAGATCAGGAGGTTTTTAATCGACATTAATTTTGTTGTAAATGTAACCGTGTGCTGTAAAAATGGTCTTTTAAAGTGTGTTTTCTTCAACTTTCCAACCAATTTATTATGTTTATAGGTAACCCTTGTACTTATAAAGTTTCTCCATCTTTATATTCTACATGTTCAATCTAACATTGTTTTTTTCCAGTATGTTCTTTAAATTTTTTACTTCATATTCTATAAAACAATCATTGCAACCAGAACATTTGTTTAGCTGTCTGCAAATAGTTTTTATTTTTTTTTTTTTCTCTTGCAAACTCAGAAATTCATTCTGTCTGTAAAGTTAGGGTCATAGTTATTATATAAATTTCAATTTAAGCCTTAAAAGGAAGTATAGAATCCTCAAATAATTTTCATATTATTTTTTTATTTGTCCTAAGACATTTAAAATCATTTAATAACCATCCTTTTATGATTATTTGTTCAATTTATATTTTATTTATATTCTTTTAAAAATTTTCATTATTAAAAGGAAAGTAACTTAAAACAGGATAAATCAAGGGAAGTAACCCAATAAATACACAGTTTTTGTTACACAACGGCAGTTAGCCTGAGGTAAAAATCGTTGCTTACCAGTATGTTTGACACCCAAGCTGACAAGTGAAGCCATATAATTATGCATGTTAATTGATTTACAGGTAAAATATAACTTCAGGTAATGTCAGTTACACCAGATGCCTGAGATGTTATGTTGGGCAGAAATTTTTCATTCATGAAAAATTTCATACACTGGATTTTTTCAACGGGAGGGGGGGAGGAGACCCCTGAAAACGGGATTATTGTACTCCCGTCGGGAGGTTCACATGTATGCCTATTCAAACCATATCATTATTATTTGCTTTTATATATAAATCAGAAATAACCAATTTAAAATGGAAAATGTTAAAGAAAAAAAAGGAAAAAAAAAATCCCCCCCCCAATTTTTTGAACCCCCTTATGATTCATCGCCCCCAAACTCAATCCCAGCTTTCCCTTTGTGGTATGGTACCTTGCAGTACAATTTCAGAGAGATTCATACACTTGAACACAAGTTATTGTCTGGAAACTAGAAAAATGCTTGTTTTTTGGCCCCTTTTTGGCCCCAAATTCCTAAACGTTTAGGGCAATTACCCCCAAACTCAATTCCAGCTTTCCCTTTGTGATATGGAACCTTGTAGTACAATTTCATAAAGATCCATACACTTACACACAAGTTATTGTCCTGAAACTAGAAAAATGCATGTTTTTTTTGCCCTTTTATGGCCCCTAATTACTAAAATTTTGAGGGAAAACCCCCAAAATCAATCCCAGCCTTCCCTTTGTGATATGGAACCTTGTAGTACAATTTCATAAAGATCCATACACTTACAAACAAGTTATTGTCATGAAACTAGAAAAATGCTTGTTTTTTGCCCCTTTTTGGCCCCTAATTCCTAATATTTGGAGGAAATTACCCCAAAAATCAATCCCAGTATTCCCTTTGTGATATGGAACCTTGTAGTACAATTTCATACAGATCCATACACTTACAAACAAGTTATTGTCATGAAACTAGAAAAATGCTTGTTTTTTGCCCCTTTTCGGCCCCTAATTCCTAAAATTTGGAGACAATTACCCCCAAAATCAATCCCAGCAATCCCTTTGTGATATGGAACCTTGTGGTACAATGTCAGAGAGATCCATACACTTACACACAAGTTATGTCTGGAAGTTACAAAAATGCTTATTTTTGGCCCCTTTTGGCCCCTAATTCCTTAACTGTTAGTACCATAACCCCCAAAATCAATCCCCACCTTCCTTTTGTGGTATTGAACCTTATGGTAAAATTTCAATGAGATCCATTCACTTAAACTAAAGTTAGAGTGCGAAAACTAATGTGTATTCGGACGACGACGACGACGTCATACCAATATACGACCACAAAAATTTTTTTGCGGTCGTATAAAAAGGAAAAAAAAAAATTACCCCTTTTTTGACCCCCGCCCCCCTTATGATTCATCACCCCCACCCCCCTTTCCCCCCTAACCAAGCTCAATAACAGCCTTGCCTTTGTGGTATGGTACCTTGTAATACAATTTTAGAGAGATCCATACACTTGAACACAAGTTATTGTCTAGAAACTAAAAAATGCTTATTTTAAACCCCTTTTTAGGCCCCTTATTACTAAACGTTTTGGGCAATTACCACAACACTCAATTCCAGCTTTCCCTTTGTGAAATGGAACCTTGTAGTAAAATTTCAGAAAGATCCATAC